CTCTGCTCCATCGGCAGGGAAAACAGGGACGGTCCCTGCCTTCCCAAAGAGCAGCTCCCGCCCACTTTCTTTGGGATGTTGTTTCCAGCCTCTGTTTTCTTCCAGCAGGTGGGTATTTCCCCCCCTCGGATCCAAAGGGGAAGGTTTTCCCAGCGCCAGCCCCTTCTCCAGGACACGGGAAGCATCCCAGGGAAACGAGGGCTGAGGGGACACCATGGGGGGGTTTTCCATCCTTTGCAGTGTCCCCTAAAAATTCCAGCCCGTGTGTCCTGGAAGGTTTGGGAATGGCATCAAACCAAGCATGTTTTATGGAATCCTGGAATGCTTTGGGTGGAAGGGACATAAAGGATCCTCCAGTTCCACTCAGGGACACCTCCCACTGTCCCAGGTTGATCTATCCCAGCCTGGGACATTCCCAGGGATGCAGGGGCAGCCACAGCTGCTCTGGGAAATCCAGCCCAGCCCCTCACAAGGAAGAATTCCTTCCCAATATCCCATTCCCTCTGGCAGTGGGAAGCCATTCCCGGTGTCCTGTCCCTCCATCCCTCATCCCAAATCCCTCTCCAGCAATCCTGGAGCCCTCTCAGGCCCTGGAATGGTGAAGGCACCGCAGGGATGGGGCCCAGTCCGGCCTTATGAGGGACACAGCCCAAGAATTCCCCCTTGGACATGATCTGGAACTCCCTGCATGTTCCATCCCACTGCTTTTCCCTCCGGACAACAATTCCACCGCTTCCTGATCCCCCCAAAGCCTCGCTGGGATTCGGGATGAGCCAAAGGTTCCCCCCACCCCCAGCCCAATCCCCAGAAGAGCCAGACATGGATCCCACCTTTCCAAGTGACTTTTAATCCTGAACAACCCTCCAAGTGCCTGAATCCATCTCCAATAACCCCAAAAGCTTCCCGGGGTCCTGCAGCCCTTCCACCAGCCAAGTGTCGGGGCCCCAATCCAGGGAAAATCCGGCATGTCCCAGGTTTTGGGGCAGCACCCGAAGCCTGGGATCCGTCTGCACTGGTGGGGGACACGGGGGAGATTTGAGGGGGAAAAGGAGTGAGTTTGGGGTTGGTTTTTGTGCAGGACACACGGCTGGGACACACAGGGAGGAGAGCCCGGTCAGGAAAACCTTGGGAAGCCATCTCAGCTTTCCAAGATCCCGAGAAAGCGGGAGGAGTTTTCTTCCTTGCCCTGGTGCTTCCCCACCTGCCAAGGGCCGGCTTTGAGTCCCCAGAGATCCCTTGGGGGCTCAAAAAGCGGGATTTGGGAGCTTTCCTGACTCCAGGAATCCCGAGGGAGTCACCAGGGATCCTCTTTGGGGTTTGGAAGGGGGGGGTTTATTCCAAATTCCAGCTCGGCCTGACCGTGATGGAACCGCCGCCTGACTCCTCTCCGGGATGAGCCAAAGGATTTCCAGAGGGTTTCCAGAGGGATCGGAGGGCTTTGTTTGGCACTGGGAAACTTGGGAAAACTCTTGGACTTTTGGGGTTTTCCCCTCCCACAACCAGAGCCTGGAAATGGAAAAAATAGACACCTGCTTTGCTTTGGGTTTGTCCCTTCCGGTGTTTCTATCCCGGGAATTTGGGGAGTTCCGGGAAGGGGAGGGATAAAATCAGGAGTGGCCCCGCTGGGATTGGGTTGGTTTGACTTGGATTTGGCATTGGGAAGTCAAAAGAATTCCCAGGAAATCCCGAAAAATCAAGCTGAGGGTGTGACCCAATCCTTCAGAGATCCCTGGAATTCCAGGGATCAGCTCCTCTGGAATCCTTCAGAGATCCCTGGAATTCCAGATGAGCCTCTTCTGCTCATACCAGGAGATATTCCCAACAATCCACGGATCAGGAGAGACCACGATCCAAACCCGACCTGTAGGGCAAAGCTACCTCCAAAATTCCTCGATTTCTCCCCAAAATTTCTCATTTCCTCTCCAAAATTCCTCATTTTCTCTCCAAAATTTCTCATTTCCTCTCCAAAATTTCTCATTTTCTCTCCAAAATCCCTCATTTTATCTCCAAAATTCCTCATTTTCCCTCCAAAACTCCTCATTTTCTCTCCCAACCTTCCTGTTCCCGTCCCACTGGAAGCAATTCCCATTTTTCCAGACTGTCATTCCCAGCCTGGGACATCCAGGGAAGCCAAAGCCAAGAAACAGAAAAGAAAGGAATTGAAAAGGAGGGAATTTGAAAGGAAAGAGATTTCAAAAGAAAGAGATTTTTTAAAAAAAGGAAATTTAAAATCAGGAGATTCAAAGGAAAGAAACTTAAAAGGAAGGAATTCAAAAGGAAGGATTTGAAAAGAAAGAAAAGGAATTTAAAGGGAAGGGATTTAAAATAAAGAAAATAAAAGGAAGAAATTTTAAATAAGGAGATTTCAAATAAAGGAATTGAAAAGAAAGAGATTTTAAATAAATTTAAAATAGATTTTTAAACAAGAAATTTAAAATAGACATTTAAAGAGAAGAAGAGATTTAAAAGAAAGAGATTTTAAAATAGATTTTAAAGGAAGAAATTGAAAAGAATTTAAAAGAAAGAAATTTAAAATCAGGAAATTTAAAGTAAAGACATTTAAAATAAAGAGTTTTAAAATAAAGGAATTTAAAATAAATTTAAAATAGATTTCTTAAAAAAAAGACATTTAAAAATAAAGATATTTTATTTAAAGAAATTTAAAATAAAGATATTTTAAATAAATTTACAATAAATAAAATTAAAAGAAAGGTTTAAAATAAATAAAATTTAAAATAAAGATATTTCAAAGACAGAGATTTAAAAGAAATTTAAAATAAATTTTAAAATGGGTTTTTTAAAAAAGAAATTTAAAATAAAGACATTTAAAAAGAAAGAGATTTAAAATAAAGAAATTTAAAATAAAGAGATTTTAAATAAAGGAATTTAAAATAAAGGACTTTAAAAGAAAAAAATTTAAAATAAAGGGGTTTAAAATAAAGTGATTTAAAGAGATTTAAATTAAAGAGATTTAAATACTTTTGAAAAAAAGAAATTTAAAACCAAAGAGATGTAAAATAAAGACATTTAAAAGAGAGAGATTTAAAATGGAGAGTTTTAAAATAAATTTAAAATAAAGAGATTTAAAATAAAGGAATTTAAATCCAAAGAGAGGTAAAATAAAGACATTTAAAATAGAGAGATTTAAAATAAATCCAAAATAAAGAGATTTGATAAAAAGAAATTTACAATAGGTTTTAAATCAAGAAATTTAGAATAAAGGAATTTAAAATAAAGGAATTTAAAACCAAAGAGAGGCAAAAAAAAAAGAGATTTAAAATAAAGAGATTTAAAATAAAGAGATTTGATAAAAAGAAATTTAGAATAAAGGAATTTAAAATAAAGGAATTTTAAATAAAGGAATTTAAAATAAAGGAATTTAAAACCAAAGAGAGGTAAAATAATGCATTTAAAACAGAGAGATTTTAACCAAATTCAGATTAAAGGGATTTCAAATGCAGAGATTTAAAATATAAAGGGGTTTAAAATAAAGAACTTTAAACCCCATTTCAAAGAGCTTTAAAATAAATATCCCAACTTTGGGACTTCCCAGAGAGGGGATAAAAAACCCCTCAAGATGCCCCAAGGAGGAGCCGGGAATTTTATTCTTGCTTGGCCAAGGAATTTTTCGGGCCTTTCCCACAGTTCCTTCGGGATTCCATCCCTTCAGCCTTTCCAGTGGTTAAAAACATCCACTCCATCCTTGGATTTGCCCCCAAAGGGCAACGTTTCCCCGCAGTCCCGGGGTCTGGGGCGGCACAAGCTCGTTGGGAGCTTTTCCCGGGAAGATCCGAGGGAAAAAAGCTTGGAATAAAGGGCCTGGGGAAGTGCCTTCCAAACCCCAAAGCATTCCCTCAAAACTTCAGCCCCCCAAACCCCTGGAGGGCTTCCCTGAGCTTCCCATTTCCGGAGACACCAAAAGCAGAGATGGTAAAAAGGGAATTTTTCGGCAATTTTTCCATCCGGCTCCAAAATCAAACCCCACAAAGGGAACTGGGGGGGAGGGAATTGAATCACAAATGACAAATGAAGGGGCTTGTGCTTCCCATAAAGTGCTTGAGCTCAGCTCTCCCAGCCTGGATCGGGCCCTTCCCGCCTCATTCCCAAAGAAAGGACAGCCGGGATGGGTTCCCAGCGGGAAGGATGGTGGGAGCTCAGCATTCCACCCGGGATAGGGGGGCTCATCCCGCCTTGGAGGGGTTTGTGCTCTCATCACAGTGCTCAGATCTGCCAGGGGGGTATCCATCCCCACCCAGGAGCCCATGGAATTCTGACCAAGGACAACAGGGAACGTCGCCTCTGGAATTGGTAATTATGGCTCTGCCCAAACCTCACCACCTTCCCACCCCTCCTTCCCAAGGACAAAGCTCCAGGAATTCCAGCTGCCAACCTCTGCAGGGGCATTCCCAAGTGGGAAATAAATCCACTTAAAAATCCCCAGAATTCCAGGCAGAGCCTGCAATCCCACAGGGATACACACGTGGGATGCACATCCCACTTATTGCACATGGAGCTGGGAGAGCAGAGGGAATATTTTGGGAGCAGGAAAGCCTCCCTGGCCTTGGAATTGAGCCTGGGAATGGGGGGACGCTCAGGGAGGAGGGAGCCGGAGCCAAGCCTGGCAGAGGCTTTTCCTTCCTCCTGCTGAGCAGTCAAAGCCTGGGGATCCTCCTGGAAAAGCCAAGCAGGGCCTCCAATTAGTCCTGAGCTTAACTGGGGGAATTAATTCCCAAATCCAAGGTCATTCCCTGCCCATCAGTCTGCAGCCAGCAGGGACAGGTGCCCGCAGGGAATCCG